ATTTTGTACACTTGTTACATACATTACACATTGGAAAATATAAGTTATAATAAATAAAATCGTTATTTAATAATGGTTTTTGGCGGACATTTGTCATCGTTATAAAGCAAGGAATCAATAATCGGCTGAACATCTTTATAGCAGTTCAGTTACAATTACAATTGATGATGACAACATGATCATCAGTTAACGATAACGTTTCTTAAAAGGTGCTACCTATTTATCTTTAAATAAATTAGATGCTCATATAAATAAGAGCATCGGTACATACGTGTAACAAAGAACATTTCAGCAAACCGGATTTTCTTCTTCAAATTTTAATATCTATAGATAAAGATTTAGTTTTTACAGCTGCAACTTTCCTTTTCTGCTCCAACTCCACCATAGGTAGTAGCCGCAGTCAAGAATGCTGCTCTAGGGGTGGATCTCGTCTAAAGCAGGCAAATATAAAGTCCTCCGCATTAAAATAAGCACTGAAATACTTCACTCATAATCTATACTCCCGGCTTGTCTTTTCTATGACTCCGGAGTATGACCATCAAATATGATCGATCGAAGAAATATTTCCTACCGCTGTTGGAAAACCGATAATGAAAAAGACAAGGTTGTAAAAAGCACCAAATATAAAAGCCGACGAAACATCTGTGCATTATGAATTCCTGTGAAGCAAATTAGAATCACTTAAGTAACCACTTTGTTTTGTTATTGGAAAAATATGGTTAAAATTTTCACAACATGACCAGTGTTGCCAGGTCAAGTACTACGAAAGCGGTAGAATAGACATAAGAAACATAGATTAGATAGATAGTTATAGAATAGATTTAAAAACAAAACGGGAAATAATTGAATGTTTGTAAATTTGAGCGTTTCGAACTTTTTAAGTGGTCTTCAGCCAAGAAGGTGTTAGCGTAGCTCCGAGGCGCGCTTTAGGAAACGAAAAACGAAAAAAAAACATGTAATCCAATCGCCAATCGCAGTGCAATGTAGCTGATTTGTTGACAAATAGTCTAATATATAATAGTTATATTTAAAGTGTTTAACGTAACGTTTAGCAGTAGGTTCTTATGGCTTAGCGGTAGAGCAGTAGCTCTCAAGAAAACGGGAGACCCACCGTAAAAACGGTAGACCTGGCAAACGTGAAAATAACTTCTTCGATCAGCTGAGATCAGCTGAGAGGCGCGATAACAGCGCGCTCATGGTCTGAGTAAACTATGTTAACGCACAACTGTCATTACACGAGAGTGAACAGGCCCTGGGTAGGACTAAGAGTAGAACAAACAAAACATACGGTTTGCATGGGAATCGGGACCAGCTCCGGCATCATTATTTTTTCTTTTTTAATTGTTAGGAGCGACTGGGGGGGGTGACTTTTGGTCGGCTGGTGGTACAATCGGTGCACCAGCATTGCATTCATGTTCCTGATTCAAATTGATGGCTTTAGTTGTCGATTCAGCCTGAGAGTTCAAATGTTAGGGGCTGCAGATGTCATTTAAAAACAAATTCCGAACATATGTAGGTAATTCCCAGCTTATTTTTTCTATGGTTCTGATCAAAATTAGTTAATTAAATGAAATATAAACATAAACAAACTGAATAATTCTTCCTTATTCTAATTAAGTTGAAACTGTCACTTTTCGCACAGATTATAAGGAAACCATTGACGATGATTTACTTCGATCGATTGATTATAAAGATTTGATGTGACTTTGCCAGAGAAAAGTCAAGAATTTTTTAAAAAATTGTATAATAATCTGTACATCACTATTAATTGTAAGAATTATTAAGTTTAAATCGCATTTAATTAACAAATTTTGAACAAAGCGCCAATGTAAAAATGAACTTGGAATTACCGACATATGTTAGCAATTTTTCGGCTCAGACTAAATGAAAACAAAGTCATAAATTTGAATTAAGAAACGGGATGCGGCCAAAAGTTCGTGGGTTGTACAAATTGTGCTACCCACGGGGTATCTACAAACAAAATGCGGGTCAAATACAGCAGATGTAAGATCTTGCGATTGAACAGGGGCATTTTTTAAATTAAGTACTTCAAAGCGATAAGAAATCTCAATAATACTTTTTTAGTCAAAATAATAAAAAACGTATGTCAGTTTAGGGAAATTACTGTTAGGTAGACAGTAACGTAAAAGCTGGTTCTAAAAGCGTTCGCGGAACGAAAGAATGAAGGATAGGTTCTGAACAGGTCCTGAACGGAGCCTGCGCTCTAATTTCCCCCCCGGTTCGTTCGCCTGGATGACAGACGAAATATTTGATTTAATGGAGAAACGTAGGATACTAAAACACAGCAAACAGGCTTACGAAGTCAAACAGCTATTAATAAGACAGATAATCCGGGAAGCAAAAGCATCGTATCTGGCTAGCCAGTGCAAAGAGATAGAAGCCCTAGAAGCGACATATGACTCCTTTAATATGTATAAAAAGATCAAGGAAGCAACTGGCAACTCACGCTCAAACAGAGCATCGGGAGTACTGTGCGACGAAAGTGGAAAAATAGTACAAGGATTGCAACAAAAACTAATTGAATGGACAAATTGTATAACGGAACTATTTGAAGACGACAGAATAGATACAGAAGGACCACAAATTACATGCAGAGTGGTTGAATATGCTATTAGGGGGTCAAAAAGTCGCAAAGCGGTAGGACCGGATGAGATTCCTTGTGAAGTATACAAGCTAATAGACGACCAAATTGGCCTAAAAGTGATAGCAGATTTTTTCAACAAAATATACTCTAGTGGTAAATTCCCAATCGACTGGCTAAAATCTGCGTTCATAACAATAACAAAGAAAAGCACGACTAAAAACTGCGATGAATACAGAGCCATTAGCCTAATGAACCATATGTTGAAGACATTTTTGAAAATCATTCACGGTCGGATATATGCGAAGTGTGAGGATTATCTAAGTGCAACGCAATTCGGGTTCCGTAATGGTCTCGGTACGAAAGAAGCACTTTTTGGCATTAATGTCCTAGCCCAGAGAAGCCGTGACATCTCGGCTGATGTTTATGCCTGCTTCATAGACTTTCAAAAGGCGTTTGACCGGGTTAAACATGAGATCTTGGTGGATACCCTCAAGTTGATTGAACTGGACGGGGCGGATATCAGAGTAATCGCAAACTTATACTGGAGACAGATATCGATAGTCAGAGTGGGGGGATCCACCACGCCAGAAGTAACCATCAAGCGTGGCGTAAGGCAAGGGTGCATCCTATATCCGTTGCTCTTCATTGTATACTCAGAGAGTATTTTCAAAGGTGCACTTTCGGAGGCAGCAGTGGGCATTGTCGTTAATGTCAAATTGATAAATAACATGCGGTACGCGGATGACACGGTTTTGCTGGCTTCTAGCTCAGAAGATCTACAGCGGAGCTTGAACAGTGTCGTAGTAAAGTGCGACGCAGCTGGCTTAGAACTAAACATATAAAAGACCAAAGTTTTAATAATCAGTAAACAGCAGAATGTCAGAGCTGCCATACATAGGTAGCTTTATAAGGATAGAACAAGCACGAGGAGCTTACAGAAAAATGAGCAATGTTCTAGGATGCAGGGACCTAAAATTATCCCTACGAATCCGACTGCTGAGATGCTACGTATTCTCTACACGGAGTTGAAGCTTGGACCATCAACAAAAATTAAGAAAGTCGGCTTGAAGCGTTCGAGATGTGGGTCTACAGGAGACTGCTAAGAGTCACGTGGTCTGAAAGAATCATCAACGTGGTAATACTACAGCGCTTAAATAAGACCACTGAGATCCTCTCCACTATAAAAAAGAGGAAACTAGAGTATTTGGGCCATGTCATGCGAGGAGAAAAGTACAGACTATTACAAAACATCGTGCATGGTAAAATACATGGCAGCCGCGGACCAGGCAGGAGGAAAACGTCATGGCTGAA